TTGTATAAAAAGGGCACAAAAGAGAAAAGTTAGATTAATACATTACAAAGTAGAGAAAATAAAGGACGAAATACAAGACAATAGGTAGAATTCGTCCATTGGTTGGATTCTTGAAATATGAAATGGTTTGGTTTTGATTTTCTTCTAAATCCTCCACTTTTCTTAATTTTTTCTCCTCCTTTTCTTGCCACCTTTTTTTTTTTTTTTTTTGCTAGAGTTGTTGAAAGAAATAATCTATCCAATTGAATATGAGACATTGGCCTTTAAAACCCTCAAAATGCGCCCTAAGAAGGTCCCCAAAATGCCCCTAAAGTGCTTCCAAATTTACAGAAGGTGCAGCAGAAATTTGTTGCCCATTTGTGCCATGCGTACGCATGGGCATGGAACAGCAAATGAAGCCTCTGCTTTCTTCATGCACTCACTTGCGGGAGCCTATGCGCGCTATAAACCCATCTTCCTAACATTTGCGTGATAGATCCTTCAACTTTGATCTTGTACATTTTTTTCACACTTTTATGGGGTGTTCTCAGCTAAAATTTTAATTAATTTTAAAGGATTATAAATTCTAATGAATTTTGTGGATTTGAATAGATTCTTACAAATTCCATAAGAATCTCATCAAATAAGGTGAAATTTCAAAAAATTTGCTTATGTTTATTTTTAAGGTCGAAATCCATCCAATTCTTTTAAAATCCTTCCATTAATAAAATCTTTATAAATTCACTAATTATTGAAGATATCTAAATTTTAAAGAATTTCACTAAAATCTCAATTCAGAACATTAATGAATTTCATTAAAATCCAATAAAATCTCAACTGAAAACATCTAAATTTAGAGTGATTTTTAAAATTCATCACAATCCCAATTGAGAACGCTCCTCTTAGTCATTTCTCGCTTCTTTTGTATTGTACTCCTTGGATTGGGGATTCTGGCCTATATAAACAATATTTACACGATTGTAAGGCCTTCAATAAATATGTCAAATTACACTTATCAGTCAATATATATGCAATATTATACATAATATAATGGGTTGGACAACATCACATCAAACATGCCATCAAAATTATTGAAAGACATCATGAGAGGAAGAACTTGCTAAATTTATCGAAAAATATGATTCGAACTTCCAAAATAGCTAGCATCAATCAAAATTATTGAAGGCCAAGTGAGTCAATTGGCAAAAGGACACTGAAGAGATAGTTGCGTTAAGTGCATTGCCAAGCAACACAAATTATCCAAGAGAGCAGAGAATAGCATTACAGCTCATAGTATGTAATATTGCTTGAAATTACAATCAACGGACAAGTTGCTATATAAAAGGTGCCTGCCACCAGTGAGGAACACATGTACATATCTAAAAAAAAAAAAGGTTAAACTCCAATCTTGAAGGCTTCCACTACCTCTTCTCTAGAGATTTGTGAGGGAGGTAAATCGCGGAATTTGCCCCAGCAGACCAAGGAATAAAAGCTGCATGTACACTGCGTCTAAAAGGAGTCCAATTCCGTGTTTCAGGAATCGAACACTCACACTGCGGCTATCAACAAAGCGTGAGATAACCTCACTCTTATCCTTTACACCACTAAACTATACTCCAAGGGGCACACATGTACATATCTAAACTAGTAAGAGAACATGTACAAGAAGAAAAGTCAGAACTTCCATTGTAGAAGACAACATTTTCCATAAAAACTTATGTGCCACCTATTCTTTTTACACGTGGACTTAAGAAAAACCTAGTTGAAAACCAGTTTACCAAATGTAAATGTCCATTTTACTTATACTCGAACTTGAATGTTCATCTATCTCAATTTCATGAAAGAGATGTTGTCCAAAGAGAAGAAATTTAAAGAGATTGAAACCAATAGGAAGGGAATTCATTTTTTTTTTACCTTACTAGATACCACCTAAGTTTAGAGTTTCAGGGGATTTTTCTATCTCTCATGCCATTAATAAAACAATATTTTTATAGAGCTTTGTGTGATTTACGTGCTAACATTAATTTAATGCTTTTTTCGATTATCAGATAATTGGATTTGGGAGAGCCAAATCCAACTACGGATTCACTTCAACTGGCAAACAATTTAATAAAATATCCATTTAGAATAGTTAAAGATGTTATGATAAAAGTGGATAAATTCTTCTTTCAGGCGACTTCTTGGTCATGGATATGAAAAAAGATAGCAAAGTTTAGTAGATATTGGATCGAATATTATAGCAACTAGAAGGGCACTAGTTGATGCAAAGAAGGGTTAGTTGGGCTGGAGGATACATAATAAACAAGCATCAACACATTTAATAACTCGAAAATTGTTTTATTTTGAACAAATAATCTTCCATTTTTTCAAATATTCTCTTTTAATAGACCTACATATATAGTTCCAAAGTATCCATTTCCATAACTACGAATAAAACTTCCATCGCATAAAAATTTTAGGTAATCCATCGACGACATTTTGTCAAAGAGAGTTCAAAATCGTTGGGAATTATAACCATAAATTCTACACAATCGGTAACAATATAATCACAGTAAGAAAAAAGACACAAAAGAACACGCAAAATTTAAGATAAATACTATTGATAGTCATGACTATCAATAGTCTTTCATGTGACAACTTGTTATTTTTGGTATTAATGAATGATAAGTTAATAAAAAGCAAATGTCTCAAGTAACAAGTTGTCACGTAGTACGATTATCGACAATCGCTAACTGTGAATAATATTACTCAAAATTTAATTATAATACATTTGGAAGTAGTTGACCAAACTTCACAAGTATTAACTAATAAAAGAATATTTAGCAAAAAAAAAAAAAAAAAAAAAAAAAAAAAAAAAGAACATAAGCATTTAATTTTAGTTTAATTTTATCATCTGAATTGCATAGTCAATGTATGCAAGGACTATCTATATTCTTGCTATATCTTTCCAGTCGAATTTTTTACTTTTCTCTCTAAGAATCATGTGATTTTTCAAAGTCGTCCTAATTGGCTATATTCGTACGACTCTCCGTTCAACAAAGGCGTCCCTTTTGAATGATTCTTTTTATTACATTTCATGTAGTTTGTGGATTGGGAGACTGAGTTGGTAACCCGAATCAGATAATTAAATAGAATGTTATTCAAAGTTTAATATACCTGCTAGTATTTAAAATTTTTTATTTTCCAACCTTATTTTTAATGTTTGTTTTCTTATTTTAAAGCTCACATGCGTAATCTCCCTAAAGAATAGAAGAAAATCGAAAGAAAATTGATAGATAAATAAATAAAAATGAAAGAAGTTAAAAGGAAATACGAAGGTATTTTTGTCCCATTTTTTGAGAAAATAGATTTTGCAATACAATTTTTTATTTTTTCTTTTTTAAATGTATGGTTGAAAAAATGGAAAATTTTGGAGTTTACTGTAAACTTATTTTATTGAAAATTCAAATTCTTACTTTTGTGTTATTTGGCTGACATTTTTTCATGGAAAATATTTTCCTAATTTTAATCATGTGACCGTATTTTCCTCAAAATCAAGAAAATATTTTCTTTAGGGGAAGTAAGATTTTATTTTTCAGAAAATTCACTCTCTCTTTCTCTTTCACATCTATCCAATTTCTCTTATATACACACCAATAAAATTTGGACAATTATAATATTTTCTCAATTGAAAATTAAATCAATCAAACACATTTAGTTGACAAATTTCATGCAAATAAGTTCTAGACAATCGAATTACCTAAAATTTATTTTCTTTCCATGCAATTGCTTAGAACTTATTTGTATGAAAATTATTAATTAATGTGTTTGATTGATTATACTTGTTTATTTTTTATTGGTGATTAGATGAGAGAAAATTGATAGATAGTAGAGATTAGAAGAGAAAGTGAATACTTCGAAAATAAAAACTATCACTTTCTTTATTATTTATTTTAGGAAAATATGATCAATCAAAAGTTGGATCGATCAAACACCTTGAAAATAGGAATTTATAGGTAGAAAAATGTTTAAAGAATGAATTGTTTTGGAGACTAAAATTTAAAACTCTAGCCTCGAGAAGGAAAAGGAAAAGTCAAATAATTGGTACAAATTTGAATAAAAGTCTGTTTTATTTCAACAAGTTTGTTTTAACATTCTAATCACGATGATCAAAGTCAACGGTCTTCGATTTTTTTTGTTAGGGATATTCACATCAACGTTTTAATGAGAACAACTTTACAAGAAGTACAAGTTTTACACCAACACAGATTGGAAAGATTTATTTGATTTAAGATTTATATCTTCAAAATATCATCTTGTGGGATAGTTATAAATAATTTCTTAAAAACTTTGACGGTGTCAAAGAATATTGGAACATTCACGTTAACTTCTGAGTAAATATTTCTCGTTATACTTTGTTAGCCAATTTAAAGTGAGTTTACTAGTCAAAAAAATTGGATTGTGAATTTTATTTTTCAAATAAATAGGTAGAGGTTTGGCCACTATGTGGGTTTTAGTTGAATTGAGCGGTCGGATTTGACAATAGAGCTTAGAGAATTCATTTTATTAGCATAGTCTATTTGACAATCGGTTAACTAAAAAGATAAACGAAAATTTTTATTGTCATTATCACTACATTGATATTAAGCCATGTTCGGTTCAACTAAAATATATGATTAAAATTTAAGTCAAAATCAATAACTAATTTAATCATACGTTTTATGTAACCCACAAAATTTAAACCACACATTTCATCGACTTTTATTAAAATTTATTTTTTAAAAAAAAACTGATTTTTATCGTTTTTGCAAATATGAGGTGTAACAACATGTGTTTTGTCGCCAATGAATAAAGACATAGGATTTGACCAAAGAAGAACGGAACATGGCACCTTGAGTCCACATCTTGTCATGTAGGTCCAAGTGACGACAAGGTTAAAATTTGTAATTTGCTGGTATAGATATCTTACTACTGTATTTAAAAATAGAAACGGAACTACTTAATTTATTTATATTCGATCTACTAAACTTAGGATAAAAGATAATTAAATCAATGTACAAACGTGCACATTTCATTGTCTTCGTATCTCATCTCACTTTGCTCGCCGTTTCAGTTTTCACATAAGAGTCTTAGTATCACCTTCTTCTCCATTATCCAGACCTCTAGTCTCTGCTGCATGCCACCACCAAATCAGCAGAAAATTAGACGAAAAACCCACCTCAAAAATGTCGAAATATCTCCATTTCTTCACGTTTCTTCTCTTCGTTACCTTGCACTTTTTCCATGGCAATGCACAAAATGTTACCGCTCAAGAACATACCATTCTTCTTCAACTGAAAAACTACTGGTCCAGTTTAACCAGTATCACTCACTGGATTCCGTCATCCGACCACTGCACGTGGCCGGAGATCACGTGCACCGATGGCTGGGTCACGAAACTCGAGATCATCAATAACACACTTGGTGAAACGATCCCAACATTTATTTGTGACCTTAAAAACCTGTCCTATATTGATCTTCACCTGAATTTCATCCCTGGATCCTTTCCTGTTGTTCTTTATAACTGTTCTAATCTCGAATATTTAGACCTTCAACAAAATTATCTTGTTGGAAGAATTCCTGATGACATTAACCGCCTTTCACCCCGGCTTCAGGTTCTTAACTTGAGTGGCAACAATTTCACTGGTGATATCCCTGCATCCATTGGGAGCTTCCCAGAACTCAAAAGTCTTCAGCTTTCGTCCAACTTGTTCAACGGTTCTATTCCGTCAGAAATTGGCAATCTTTCCAATCTTGAAGAATTGAATTTGAACTTCAACCCTTTTTTACCACAAGAAATACCACCAGGTTTCACAAAGTTGAAGAAATTGAGAAATCTCTGGATGTATATAACAAATTTGGTAGGAGAAATCCCTGAAAGTGTTGGGAATTTGTCAGCTTTAGAAGTCCTGGATTTGTCTGAAAATGGTTTAAGTGGAAGCATCCCAAATTCTCTGTTTCTTCTGAAGAATTTGACTACTGTGTATCTGTTCAAAAACAGGTTATGGGGACCAATTCCTCAGGCTGTTGAGGCCTTGAATTTGGAGGTAATTGATCTTTCCAACAATTCCTTGACAGGGACGATACCACATGATTTCGAAAAGCTGACAAAACTTACCGGTTTGGCTTTATTTTTTAATCAATTATCTGGTGAAGTTCCAATAGGTATCGGTAGATTGCCATCTCTAACAAATATTGGACTCTGGAGTAATAATCTTACGGGTGAATTGCCACCAGATTTTGGGTTATACTCCAGGCTGGAAAGATTTCAAGTTTCATCTAACCATTTTGTTGGGACGTTACCAAAGAATTTGTGCGCTAATAAGGTCCTTATAGGTGTGGTCGTCTTCGACAACAATTTGACAGGTGAACTGCCAAATTCTCTAGGGAATTGTGACAGTTTGGAGGTTGTTAGGGTTTATGGAAACCGATTTTCTGGTAATATTCCAGGAGGACTGTGGACATCATTGAAATTAGATACTCTGATGATGAGCGATAATTTGTTTACGGGTCAGCTTCCGGATACAGTAGGCCCTAACTTGTCCCTGCTCGAGATACATAACAACCAGTTTTCGGGTGAAATTCCAGCAGGGATATCTTCTTGGAAGAACTTGAGGGTGTTTGAGGCAAGTAACAACTTGCTTACTGGTAAAATTCCTCAAGAATTGACTGTTCTTCCATTGTTGTCGAGTATTTTGCTCGATGGAAATCAACTTTCTGGAAATCTTCCGTCAACTATAATCTCGTGGAAATCTTTAACGAATTTGAATCTCAGTCGAAACCAATTGTCTGGCAAAATTCCTGCAGTAATCGGGTTTTTACCTGACCTCGTATATTTGGATTTATCAGCAAACAACTTTTCTGGTTCGATCCCATCTGAAATTGGCCTTTTGAGGCTATCTTCACTCAATCTCTCTTCAAATCAGCTCTCCGGGAGAATCCCGGGTGAATTTGAAAACGCAGTTTATGATCGCAGTTTTAGAAATAATCCAAGACTCTGTGCAAGCAATCCAGCATTAGGCCTCAGCAGTTGTCAGGCTGCACCTGCCAGAAAATCGAACAAACTTTCATCCCACTTAATTGCTGCAATCTCGAGTATTTCAGCAGTTGCCTTTTTAGTGGTTTTCGTATACACAATCTTAATTTTTAAAGCTAACAGGAGGAGAAAGAGCGATCTGGAGTCGACTTGGAAATTTACTTCATTCCAGAGATTGAATTTCACAGAATCAACCATTTTATCCGGTTTAACAGAGAACAACATAATTGGAAGAGGAGGATCAGGAACAGTTTTCCGGATTCCCATAAATCGTTCTGGTGCTTACGTTGCCGTTAAGAGGATCTGGAACAATGTGAAGTTGGATCAGAAACTCGAGAATGAATTTCTATCAGAAGTTCAAATTCTTGGCACCATAAGGCACTCCAACATAGTGAAACTTCTATGTTGCATTTCAAGTCAGAATTCGAAGCTTCTGGTCTACGAGTACATGGAAAATCATAGTCTCGACAGATGGCTTGGTGGCAAGAATCGACAATCCACAATCTCAGGTTCAGTTCATCAAGTGATTTTAGACTGGCCTAAGAGGCTACAAATTGCAATTGGTGCTGCTCAAGGGCTCTCCTACATGCACCACGATTGTTCCCCTTCCATCATCCATCGTGATGTAAAATCGAGCAATGTCCTGTTGGATTCCGAGTTCAATGCAAAGATTGCAGATTTTGGCCTAGCACGAATGTTGATCAAGCACGGAGAACCTGACATGATGTCTAGTGTGGCAGGATCATTCGGTTACATAGCTCCAGGTACCATACAAACTCTCAACTCTTGTCAAATAATGTCTTTGAAATTCCTTATTCTCCCCAAATTTTTTACATTACCTTAAATTTTTAGAGCATGCACATACGAGAAGAGTGAACGAGAAGATTGATGTTTATAGCTTTGGAGTTATCCTTTTGGAACTAGTGACCGGAAGGGAAGCTCATGATGGAGACAAGATGTCATCTCTGGCAGAATGGGCGTGGCGTCACGTTATTGAAGGTCGACCTATAGTCGAGGTCATGGACGAGGATATTAAGGAACCCCATTACTTGGATGAGATAAGCAGTGTATTCAAACTTGGGGTTCTCTGCACTGGAAAACTTCCTTCGAAAAGGCCTACGATGAAGGAGGTTTTGCAAATCTTGCTCCAATATAGCCATTCGTCGCTGCACAGAGAAGAAAAGATGAATAGAAACGAGTACGATGTTGCTCCTCTCCTCCAGAACTCGAAGCCCGAGAGGAAACTCGAAGCCGACGACAGTGTTTAACATCAGTCGTACGATGAATGCTGATAGTGACAGTTCTTTCACAGCACTTAGCTTATATGTAACTAGACAAATCCCTGTTACGGGGATTTATAGATATTATACAAAAAAGTATATAATGCATACAAAAATTAAGCAATTGCTTTTATGAATGGAATCTTTAAAATTCACAAGTCAGAACATTTGCAGAGGAGAGAAACTTCAGGGTCACCCATCGAGGTGGCACCTCGACATTGGTGCGCCCGCCCAACTAAAGATTTAGTCTTTGCAGAGGCCACTACACTTAAAAACACTACACAAACATCCTTGGCATAATTAGTTTATAGTCTCTCTACTGAAAAATTTTTAGAATCGCGAAGTAAATTAGTTAGCAATTTACATCCGACAGAACGATTTGACTCATGAGTGACAAAATTCACCATAGTCGACCATAAAAATCAGGTCAACAAATTCTATCATCCAGCCAGTAATTTCATCTCCGAATCTCCCGAGTTTTGATCCTCCAACAGGAGCTAGAAATGAAAAGAAAGTTTGGAAGGGAGATAATTGCATCCGTTTCTTTTCAAATGAGGGTGTATTTATAGATTTTCCTCCAAGTTTTGGAGTAATTTTGGGAAATTGACAGATGACGACTCTTTATTGGCTATCTTATAAATAATTAGATTAAGAGTCGTGCTTTATTCATTGGCCACGTGCCTTTTATTGACAGCCTGTAACCAACCCGAATTGAGGAAAAATTCACAAGTTTTAGGCGAGCCTTTTGTGCTTCCATTCCCCTCGCGTGTTGCTTTACCTTTTGCCAACAGCCAAGTTCCTAAAACTGCTATCATAAACTGCATTTTCAAATTCACTCCATGGTTTGTGACTACCAATCCAAGATACTTGGCACTTATTTTTTACGTACATGAATACATAAGCAGAAAGCAAAAGCTTTGTAACGTATTTAATAAGGAAATTACGATGATTTATGTATACATGTAAGCTTTTTTGGGGATGGTTGATAATGTAGGATTTGGTGAAAAATAACTTTTTTTACCTTTGCGACCACACCTATGAGCCATTGCCATTTCGAATTTTCAAGTAGCAACGAAATTGCTCGATTTGCCAATTTTTCAAAGGATAAAAACTCAATGCCTTTTTTGTTACATTACGTATTAAGTGCACATATAAGCAATTTACATGAGAATTTAGAAATGGTGATTTGTTCGAGTGCTATAGAAAATGATTGTTTTGTACTAATGGATCTTAGCATTGTGAAAAGCTTATTCATTTTGGACAATTGTTCTATTCCTATAGTGAACTGGAATTTCTTTTTCATGAAGAATATTTAAACTATCCACACTTCTAATTTTATTCCATCTACAAAAGATGGTTGCTTTTAAAATTATCCTAGAGCATTTACCTCTAGATTCTCCTTTTTGATATAAATTGATCCTAGTATTAAAATGGAGCGAGAAAGGCGATGTTTGATCAAATGAGTCCAGGCAGAGATGCTCTCAAAAAGGTAAAGATAATTTTAAAATTGATATTCTTTCGGAAGGCATCGACAATTTACTTGTGCAAGTACAAAAAGTGTCAATGTGCTACAACTAACAGAAGAGCACACATCGATAAAAGTTAACTAACTTCTCAAAGTTTTAATCCTTGCCATTGTCATGCAAGGTTTTATTTTTCTTTTTATTGAGATTATAAAAGGGTCGATCGTATATCAACAAAACTAGTATTTTTGAGAGAAAACAACTAATAATTCATGGTTTGAATCAAGTAAATTTACTTTTTGTTCCTATAATTGTCATCATGTATAATATTCTTACGCAGTAATCTCTCATCTCATACATACATAATTACTAGGCAAGGACATAAAAATTACCTTTTATTTTCAAACATGTCACTATTAGATGTTATTTTTTATAAATTTTGAAGAAAAAGAAAAATTTATTTATTTTAAAAGGATTCCTTATCTTATTTTAATACATTTTGAGTAGATTGATAAAAAAACGTGGAGTTAAAAATTAAGAAAATTTTTTGAATCTGCATTTAATATCATTTTATTGAAAAATGTGGTTAAAATTTAATTTAGAAAAATGAGATTTTAAAAGAATGAGACTCAAACAAGGGCTTAGTTTTCCTTTGATCCAGTGTTGATATCAAATTTATCCTCTTTAACTTCACCGATAATCCACCGAATTGATGACATACTAATTTAAAAATACATGTCAATTATTAATTGGGTGAACAACAAATTGAATGACAAAAAATTGGACAACTGATCTCAACTCGCATTGTTTCCGGCTAAAAGGTTTGGATTTGTATGACATCAAAGTTACTGGGCCTTTCACACTTAGGTTTAGGTTCAGGGTACGACAAACATGCTTCTTAGTGCATAATAAACAATTTTCGCCCTTTTAACACTGCTAAAATACTAACTTATCGACCTTACCAACATGGAGCGAGCAATGCATTCATCTTAGAGTTTATTTGCCAGTGGGAAAATCCCAATTACAGGGATTTATGGATATTATACAGAAGGCTCATAACATTTGCAGATGACAAGACCCCCAAAAGGATATTTGATAAGTGTATTTTTGCACACTTATTTAGATGACAAACATGACTTAAATACAAGTAAAATGATTGAATTGTGACTTAATCTCATTGAATTCATGCAATGTAGGTGTTTCTATGGAAATAGTGGAATTCAGGAGAAGAGAGCCGAAAAAGGACTAAAATGGAGCAAAGTGATAGTTCAGGGACTAAGGATGCAAATATTCGAAAGTTGAACTAAAAGACAACTCGGGAATGCAAATATGCTAAGTATGAACTCGAAAGCAACACAAGATGATTGGAAGAAGAAGGAATTGCAAAGGGACTAAAATGAATTAAACTGAAAGTTCGGGGACCAAGTTGCAAATAATTCATAGATGAGACGGAAAATGGAATGAAGATTCAAGAGTGTTAGAGGTCAATCGGATGAGGAAAGGAGTCACGAGGTGAAATAGGGTCGAAGTATTATCAAGTATCAACTTTCAGGCGAAAAAGCTATGCTCGTGATTTTTAGTATCTACTTGAGATCTATTTTTCGCATAGTAAAAATCAGAATTTGAGAAAGTCTATTTCTATCAAAAATGTATATCTTTGAGTTTTCTTCTCAATGCACTTTGAATCAATTCAATTGGAGATCATACAAGAAAGTTATGACTAAAATGCTAAAAGCTGTCCGGTGGAAAGAATGTATGCCTATGCGGTCGCATAGTACAAATTCTATGCGGTCGCATAGAAGCCTCCCGAGAACATTTTCTCAAATTTTTTTACTCTATGCGACAGCATAGAAATGTACTATGCGGTCGCATAGGTATAATCTGGGGGCCGTTTTGCAGTTTCCTTATACGATTGAAACTCCTTTTGTAACCTAATTTCCACGCGATTTAAATACGAAAGAACGTCCAGAAGAAGGGAGAATGTAATTGGAGGCACAAAAACACTATTTTGGAGGATTTGGAGAGGATGAACAAGGCAAAAACAAGGCAATCCACTTCAAGATTCAAGATTTCACTTCAAGAATCAATTGGGTGATGTTCTTCCTTGGTTTTAATTGTTGTTTTTCTTTATTTCCAATTATGTTAGGCTAGATTTTCATGTGCTAGGAGATCGATGTACCATGTGATTTGAGTTTTATATTTCTAGTTTTGCAATTTGACATTAAAACATATTTTTTTCGTTTTGAATGATTTATATGCATTTATTGTTTCCGCAATTAAGGGCCCGTAATTGTGTGAGTTTGGGTGATTTATTCTTGCATTCGAGAGAATTGGAATAGATTCGACATAATATAAATCATCGTAGGGTCCGATAGGGGATAGAAATATACCGCTATGCCCTACGTGAATCTTTAAGTGTTCATAAAACTACATGGATTTTTACATATGCACTTGTCATAGAAATATAGGCCGGTGGTATGTAGAAATAGGTTTGATGCATCTCGAGAGAGAGTATTGGATAGACTTAGGAACATTGATTCGTCAACAATTGAATTATGTTGTCATATTGTGAAACTAGAGTTTAAAGTGATAATTGCAAGGGAAATCGTGATTCTAGTGTGTTTAATTTCTATTGATTACAACAAACGTGCGTTCTCAACAATTGATTTCATTTTAGAGTTTTAAATTATTGTTTTGCTTATTAATTTCATTACAATCATAAAAGCTGCATAAGTAGGGTTTTCTTTCCAATTTTAGAGTTTTAATTAGGTCCACATTCATTTTGAGTAATTTGGTTTCGGTTAAGGTCGAATAAGTAAAATTGAACTAACCAATCTCTGTGGGACGATACTCGGACTCATTGAATGCACTTTATTACTTGTTAACGAACCGTACACTTGCGGTAATTTAAATCGAAAGAAAATATTTCGTGAACAAGTTTTTGGCGCCGTTGCCGGGAATTGAGTTTAGTTTAATTTCATTTTTTTAGGCGCTAATTCGAACTTTAAATATTTATTTTTTTATTTTTTTCGTTTAGGTTATTTTATTTTATTTCTATTATAGTTCTTCAAATTGTTTGAATTTGAGTGCTACTACTGGTTTTCTTGCAGAGTTGCATGCCAAGATTGACTGAAGGAGAATTGTTTTCAGCTGATCCTGAAATTGAGCGTACTTTTCATCGACTGCAGAGAGAGACTAGAGAAGCATAGTTGCAAATGGCTAATGAACTGGACAATCCTATTATCCCAGCCAATGAAGGAGAGACAATGAACAAAGGAAATGAGATTTTAGGCGACTTCTTGACTCCTCAAGTGATTCAAAGTCAGTCCAGCATTGTGTATCCACCGTTTGGGCAACCCAATTTTCAATTGAAGACGAATGTGATACAGCTGTTCCAAAATGGGCATCAATTTTATGGCAGAGCCGAAGAGAATCCACATACACACATATCTCGATTTTTAGATATGTGTCAACATTTCAAAAATTAAGGAATCTCAGACGATACTATTAGGCTAAGGCTTTTTCCACACACCTTGCGGGACAAGGCACTTGAATGGTTGGATTCACTTCCTATTGCAAGCATCACTACTTGGAACGAGTTGGCTCATAAATTCTGCACGAAGTTCTTCTCACCAGCCAAGATAGCGAAACTAAGACATGAGATATCGATATTCAGTCAAGGGGAGTCTGAATCATTTG